AAAAAACACCATCAACAACAAACAACACTCCATTTCACTGAGGTAACAACTGCTAACACCATGACTATCTTTCTAGACCTTTAAAAATAACTGTACAAACAATTTTAAAAATTAATCATTCAACCGGCCACGGTGGATCAAGTCTGAAATCCCAGTACTTTGGGAGGCCGAAGCAAGAGGACTGCCTGAGCCCGCGGGTTCGCAACCAGCCCGGGCAACATGGTGAAACCTGGTCTCTACAAGAAATAAAAAAAAAAATTAGCTGGGCGTGGTAGCGTGTACCTGTAGTTCCGGTTACTTGGAAGGATCGCTGGAGCCCAGCAAGTCGAGGCTGGGCCCAGCAAGTCGAGGCTGAGCCCAGCAAGTCGAGGCTAGGCCCACCAAGTCGAGGCTGGGGTAACTATGAGTGTGCCACTGCACTCCAGACTGGGTGATGGAGTGAGACTCTGACTCAAAAAGGAAAAAAATAAAATAAAATATTCTAAAAATATATGCTATACTTTAAATTTTTATATATACTATGAATATCCATGTCAACAATATTCATCTGCAACACTAATTCTCAAAGTGCGATCTGGGGACTCCTGCAGGGGGAAGGGATCCCAAGACATTTTTCCAGGGCTTATGAGCTCAAAATTATTTTTAATTCTAAGATATTATTTGCCTTTTCCACCCTTTTTCTTTCACAAATATATAGTAAAGTCTCCTAGAGGTTACATAATTTATATTGCAATAGTTTCAATACAGAGGCTGATATAAATATAGAACGTCCTCTGTGAGTTCTTTTTCTTTTTTTTCTTTTTTGAGTTGAAGTCTCATTCTGTTGCCCAGGCTGGAGTGCAGTGGCACGTTCACGGCCACCCCAGCCTTGACCAGCTGTGCTCCGGCGATTCTTCCACCTCAGCTTTCTAAATAGCTGGAACTACATGTGTGTGCTACCACGTTCGGTTAATTTTTGATTTATTGTAGAGATGAGGTCTCGCCAAGTTGTCAGGGCTGGTCTCAAACCCGTGGGCTCAGGCAATCCACTAGCCTTGGCCTCCCAAAGTGCTGGGATTATAGGCTTGTGCTACTGTGCCCGGCCACTATACTTATTTTTCATAAAATATGTTATCAAATAATGGACCTGACATTTTAAAATGAAATAATGAATACATATTTTAAAAATTTATCAGTTTAATTTCAAAAGTATTAATACATGTAGCGCATATAAGTTCTTGGAGCCCTCCATAATTTTCTAAAGTGTAAAAGAAATCCTGAGACCAAAAAGTTTGAGAACCTCTGATCCATATCCACAATATCTTTTTTTTTTTTTTAAAGACATGAGGTCTCCCTATGTTACCTACGCTGGTCTTGAACTCCTAGGCTCCAAGCAATCCTCCTCCCAAGTCTCCCAAAATGCTAGAATTACAGTTGTGAGCCACCACACCCTACCCACAATATAATTTTTTAATGGTTGAATTAGTCCATTGGTTACCTAATTCAATTAACCAGTACAATGCCAAGAATAAGATCCTTAAATTTGTGTGAAGTCTTAATTATTTCTTTAGGATAATTTTCAGATTTTTAAAACCCACACTTCTTGTACAAAAATGGATTCACGTCAACCCTGAGATCCAACCCCCAGCCAATCAGCTATTTCCATTCTTTTTGTTTCTGGCCGGGCCTGGTGGTTTAGGCCTGCAATCCCAGCACTTTGAGAGGTCAAAGCTGGAGGATTGCTTGAGCCCAGGAGTTTAAGATCAGCATAGGCAACATAGTGAGACCCTGTCTCTACAAAAATTAGCTGGGCGTGGTGGCACATGCCTGTATTCCCAGCTGCTTGAGAGGCTGAGGTGGAAGAATTGCCTGTGCCCAGGAGGTTGTGCTCCAGTGAGCTGTGAGTGTGACACTGCACTTCATCCTGGGCAACAGACACAATAAGATTCCGACTCAATAATAATACTAATAATAAAAACAATTTTTTGATTTTTGTAGAGATGGCCTTGCTATGTCACCCAGGCTGCTCTCAAACTCCTGAGCTCAAGCAATCCTCCCGCCTTGGCCTCCCAAAGTGCTGGGATTATAGGCGTGAACCACCATGTCAGGTTCTAAATCTTCTTCAAAAAGTCAATTCCCAGGGTTGTGGGAAAGAACTGAGTGCAATTCTCAATCTTCTTTACCTATGTACTAACAATTGGCGGGATGAGTCCTATTTTTCTAAAGTATAGGCTAAAACGAGTGTCCGAGTGGGACATGCCCGGCTAGCCCCTTGCCCAGGTTGGGAGGCGTGCTGAGCCATTCATAGGGCTAACCTTCTCCCTAGGCCTCGTGACCTTCCAGGCCCGTACCCTCGGTGCCCAACTCCAGACACGGTGCCAGGTGCTCACGAAGGGCTCAGCAAACTCCAGTACATTGCTGAATGAAGTCCCAAGGCTCTACCCTTGGAGATCCTTATCAGCAGGCCTGAGGTCGATCCCAGAAACCTGCATTGTAATAAATCCTGCCTCTGACTTCAAGGAGGGGCTCCAGTGCCCCTCTCCTCGGAATGAGATAGGCCACTCCCCGCCCCGTGCCTCAGTCCTGAATCCCTGCAACAGGGCTGTTGCCAGCTCGCTCACACGTCGGTATCAGGGTTCACGAACCCATCTGGACCACGAGGCACATCCTCAGCTCAGCGACTAGCACGCAATAAGCCTTTGATCTTTAGTACCTTTTGCGGTTAACACCCTACAGCAGAAACGCTCAGAGAAGGGATCTGACAGGCGGGCCTGGCGGGATGCCCTCCCAAGGCACCGGAGGCTGGGACGCCGAGGTGCACGCCAGGAAACCGCGTGGCCGAGCCCGTGGGGATTCACCTGGGGGCGTGGCCGGAAGGAGAGGCGGGGAAG